TCATTCATTGAAAAGGCTTTACCCTAAAGAAACCAGAACTACCACCCAAACAGATATATGCCCACCCATGTTTATTGCTGCTTTGTTTACAATAGCAAAGAAATGGAAACAGCAAAGTGCCCATCAACAAATAAATGGATAAAGAAGCGGTGGTATTTTCACACAATGGAATACTACACAGCACTGAAAAACAATGAACTCATAAAATATTATACAAAATGGGTGACCCTGGAGGGCATTATCCTGAGTGAAATATTTCAGTCTCAAAAGGACAAATACTGCATAATGCTACTGATATAAAACAAGACTGACATGGGGGTGAGGGGGAAACTAGGAAAAGAGGGGATAAATAGTGTACCCTGCATTGAAACAGATGAGAGAAAAAACTGTTTAAAAGGGATATATGATTAGGTATTATTTTCATGACAACAGTCCAGAATAAGAGGTATATAGCAAAGTGTACTGAGGCTGGGGCAAGGAAGGAAATTGTGCAAAAATGAAAGAATTTTTTTTAAAGAGAAAAGTGAGCTGGGGGGGTGGGTAGGGAGGAAAATGTGCAACAATAAATGAATCCAAGTTTTCTATATATGTTTGTTAAAATCTCAATACAAAATTAAAAATAAAAAGGAAAAGGTCATCTTTGACACAAGGCCAGAAGGTCCTATTTTTATAATTATAGGGAGTTAAATTCAGCTACTTATTTCATGGTAGTGAGTCAAGCTACAATAGTTAAAGGATTTAAAGTTGATAAGGGGGTTTTCTTCAAAATTGTCTTTCTAGACTAAAATGATACTTCCTCATTTTAAACAGTAATAAAGAATGGTAGCTTTTGATTGCTTTCTTAACTGTTTCGAGCTTACATCCTCAGCTGGTGGATGCCAGAACACATACAAGAAAATCCTGCTAATCTAGTCTGCCATGTTAAAACCTTACTGTCAGCACTGGTGGTCTAGCAGAAAGGAGTTACACTGCCAATCCAAATGCACTCAATTCAAACCCACAAGCTACTACATAGGAGAAAGATGGGGTGTACTTTCTAGCCTCTGAAAACCTGCTGGAGCGTCAACTATGAGTCTCTTTTGGTGCCCAACAGAAACATGTCAGTAACTGAAGTCTATGAAAAAGGGATTAAAGTAAGCCTGTCTACTTTTGAAACTTTCTGTTTTGTAGTGACTTGTTTACAAATAACTTACTTGGCATTCTCTACCCTACTTTCATATTACTTCCTCACTTGTTTGTATACCTAGTTAGCTACCATGAAGCCAAGCACAACTCTTATGACCTTAGACACAGAAGAATGAAATGTTGCCAGATTCTGCACCATCTTCATAATTGATGGAATATCCAAGCCCATTGTCAGTTATCTTACTAACCTCTCCACCCTCACCCTTTGTTGGTCGTCATCAAACGTGATATCCTCTTTTGTTTGATCCTGCCAGATGAAATACCTAAACTAAGAGAGTCAAATAATATTCTCTGTTATGATCCATATAGTTTTTATTGGATAGTTTTGGGAAGTAGACCACCAAGTTTTTATTCCTAATATCTCCTGGTCTGGAAGCTACCTTGAAACTGTCTGCCTGGTATATTAAACATTGGAACACTGTTGGCTGAGTGGTTAGGAGTTTAATAGTTAACCCAAAGGCACTCAGGTTGAATAAGAAAGAAAGAAAGAGAGAGAGAGAGAGAGACCATGAAAGAAAGAGGAACACTCTTCTCTCATTCAATTTACTGCCTCTGAAAACTCCCTGGAAGGTCAGCTATAAGTCTGGCCCAACTCCATGATATACAATAACAACAGCAATGAAAATATATTAAACTATAATTCTTTTCAAGGATGCTCTGGTGGCCTAATACATAAGGAGTTGTACTGCAAACCAGAAGAATGTCTATCTGTGTTTCATTGACTATGCAAAAGCACTTGTGTGGATCACAAGAAATTGCGGCTAACCTTGAAGAAAATGGGAATCCCAGAACACTTGATTGTGCCTATGCAAAACTGATACATGGACCAAGAAGCAGTCCTCAGAACAGAGCAAGTAAACACTGCACGGTTCAAAATCAGGAAAGGAGTGCATCAGGGATGCATCCTGTCCTTATTCCTTTTCAATTTGTATGCAGAACAGATCTTTCAGGAAACAGGGTTTTGTGAGGAAGATTGGAGGAAGACTCATCAACAACCTATGATATGCAGATAGCGCAACCTTGCTTGCTGAAACTGAAGAGGACCTGAAGCGCTTGCTGCAGAAGGTCAAGGACTGTAGTCTTCAATATGAATTGAAGCTCAACATCAAGAAGACAAAGATTCTCACCATTGGGCCAACTGGCAGCATTATGATAGATGGAGATTGAGGTTGGTAGCTATTAAAGTTTGCTCAGCTCCACAATTAACACATACTTTGGGCACATGGCCTGGAGAATGGTCTTTGTAGGACATCATGCACGGAAGGGTGGAGGGACAGCACAGGAGAGGAAGACCTTGGATGAGATGGATTGATACAGTATCTGGGACAATGGAGGTTGGTGTGTCAGAATTAGTGAGACTGGCTCAGGACAGAGAAGGGTTCAGAGCTTCTGTACATAGAGTCACTATGTACACATTGCAGGAGACTTAACTTCACATAACAATAAAAACACTATATTGGTTATTTCTATTTAAGCCTCTTGTTTAGAGTCAGCAATACTTGGTAAGGGCCTTTGTTATTACATTTTGGAGGAACACTCTTTTAAGAAGTACACATTCTTCTGTCAGTATGCTGTACTGAGGTAACATGGGGTTGCTGTGATGCTGAACCTTGTTCCATTGGGGTCTCAAATGTCATAATGGTTATCCATGGTGGACAGTGTTTGCTGGAGCTCCCAGTTTAAGATAGGTTTGAAAGCAGGAGTGGCATCCACTTCTTAAACCACATGCCTCTAGAAACTCTATGAACTTTGATAAATGATAGTTATAGAAAGGCTTAAAGCCTTTTGATCATCTGGTCTCTATGAATTGTGCTCAATCGATGGCATCAACAATAACAACTGTAAGCCAAGGGTCACAGTTCTTTGGCACTTCAAACCCACAAGTAGTTCCAGAGGAGAAAGATGGGCAATCTCCTCCACTGGAAATTACAGCACTGGGAATTAATGGAGGATCAGTTATGAGTTGATTCCTACTTAACAACGATGAGATTTATGAATTCCATTATTTTTGTAATTTCTCAAACATGTCAAGTATCTATAAATACAATTGTTCCTCTGTTACTAGTTCCTTATGACTGTTGTTGTTATTATGGGCCATGACATATCTTACAACTCATAGCAACCCTATGTATAACAGCTCTGAACCCTGCTCTTTCTTGAGCCAATTTCATTGTCTCTGACACATCTATCCCCATTACCCTACTCACAGAGTCAATCCATTTCATCCAAGGTCTTTCTCTCTTGCACTGTCCCTCCAACCTTCCAAGCATGAAGGTCTATCCTTGCAACATGACCAAAATAGGTGATATTGAGCTTCAAAATCCTTGTCTACAAGGAGCAGCCTGCTTTCATCCACTCCAGGACAAACCTATTTGTTCTCTTAGCACTCCATGATATGTTCAATATTCTTCCTCAGCACCACAACTAAAACGCATCAATTCTTCTATCATCTTTAGTCATTGTACAGCTCTCCAATTCATAGCAAGTAATTGCAAGCAACATGGCTTAAATCAGACTCAACTTGGTTTCAAGACTGTCAATGTTACTCTTCAGTTCTCTAGAGATACCCTGACAGCAGATTTTCCCAATGCAATTTGTCTTTTGATTTCCTCACTGGTGGTAACAAGAGTGTAGACTGTGGAGTCAAGCAAGCTGAAATTATTAATAATCTCAATCTTTTCTCAGTCTATCATGATGCTGCCAATTGGCCCAGTGGTGAGAATCTTTGTTTTCTTGATGTTGAGCATCAATCCATATTGAAGGCTGCAGTCCTTGACCTGGTGCAGCAAATGTCTCAGGTCCTCCTCAGTTTCAGCAAGCAGGGTTGTGTCATCTGCATGTCGCAGATTGTTGATGAATCTTCTTCCACTCCTGATGCCACACTTCTCCTCATAAAGTCCAGAGTCCTGGATTATCTGTTCCATATATAGATTCAAAAGGTATGCAGATAAGATGCATCACTGGCGTACACTTTTCCTGATTTTGAACCATGTAGTGCTTCCTTGTTCTATTCTGATGACTGCCTCCTGGTCCAAGTATAGGTTTCACATAACTACAATCAAGTGTTCTGGGATTCCAATTCCTTTCAAAGTTATCCACAATTTGTTGTGACCCACACAGTCAAATGTCTTTGCATAGTCAATAAAACACAGATAGATATTCTCCTGGTACTCTCTGCTTTCAGCAGAGATCCATCTAAAATTGACTATAATGTCCCTAGTGCTATGGCCTCTTCTAAACCCAGCCTGCACATCTAGCAGTTCTCTGCTGATGCACTGTTCCAGCCACTTTTGGATGATCTTTAGCAGGATCTTGCTTGCATGTGATATTAATGATATTGTTTGATAATTTCCACACTCTGTCAGATCACCCACATTACTAGTACTCTCTTATTATTCAGATCTCAGCTTGACCATCCTCCTAAGATAGGCCATGTTTAATGAACCAATCCATAATAGTCATTGTTTAGCACTATCTTTGAGTCTTTTATCTCCATCAGTGTTGTGTTTACTCATTTATTATCTCTACTCCCTACAACAAAACTATTTAAAATGCTTAAAGCTTCTACACTTGACTGCCTCCATTTAAATTGACACTAAAATAGATACCATATAGCTCTCCTAATACTCATAAAGATATCTTTTAAAATTACCCAAAAAATATTATCAGTGTCACTGAATTGTACATGTAGAAAATGTATGAGTTCTGCTATGTATATTCTTAACAAAAATGATTGTTTAAAAATATTGTTCTATGTACTAGAAATTACATGAATACTGCTTTCTTTTAAGCACTTGTCCAAGACACATAGAAAGATGTCTTTAGAAGAAATGAAAGATCTCCACCTGGAGGAAAACTTTCTGCAACCAGAAACCAAAGAAATTAATGGAATCCTTATGACCAAGATCATAAGTGATAACTGGAACAAAATATGGAACTTCCAAGCAAAACCTGATGATCTCCTCATTTCAACGTATGCAAAGGCAGGTGAGTAGTAGAAAATTATGGTATGGGTAAAGTCAGTTTTACAGAGCAATGACACCTGGAGTGTGCCTGCAAAATTCTTAAAATACTTTTTTTTTTACATTTTTAACAGTTAAGGCTGTTAAAAATGAAAATTAGTTTGCTGATGGTCTTAATCCCTTAGGATTCAAGATTGTCCTTTTTTATAAAGGTCCTTAAAAGAGAAAGAGATAAGCAGAATAAAAACTCTGTAAAGGCCTGACTTAATTATGCAATTATATAAACCAGTTTATATGCAAAATAGCAGTTTTTGCACTAAATCTTGCCTAAACAATGAGTCATTGATCTTCTCTGCAAAGATCTATTGAAATTGTCCACACAAAAAATCCCAAAACCCCACACACAACCTTCTTTAGTGTTTAATCACTCATTGTCCTTTAGTTGAAATCAATTCATAGCTAGACCTCCAGTAGGTTGTGGAGAGGCTATAAATCTCACAAGATGAGGCTGCCCTTCTTTCTCCACAGAGCAACTGGTAGATTAAAACTGCCAGGGAAGGGTCACCTTTGATATTTAATCATTTGGTAAAATAGTTTTTTAATATCTTTTGTATGTATAACACAGATGTATAAATTGAGATATAAACTATTATTCACAGGTATGTTGAACATACATGGAGTTGCCGTAAATCAGAATCAACTTGCTAGCAACTGGTGTGCAGTACATATAAACACATATAAGAGGCCCTTATGAAAGTATTTAGCTGCTAGTTAGCAAGTTCTCAATTTAAATAAAATAATCACTCAACAGAAAAACAAAGGAGCTGTCTGCTTCCATAAAAAATTATAGTCTTGAAACGTAGAGGCTGGTCTATTTGTCCTCTGGTATCTCTATGAGCCAGAATGGACTTAATGATTCTGGGTTTAATTTGTACATATATCATATGTATATAATATGATGTTGCAAGAGATTGTCAAGTCAGCTTTTAAGTCATAACAGATGGGTTAATTCACATTTAGACCCTTGTGACAGAATAGAACTGCCCACAATGTTTCCTAGATGGCCATCTTTACAGGAATAAATAATCGGGTGTTTTTCCCACAGAAATGTTGGTTGGGTTCAAAACACTAATCTGTGTTAGCAGTTGAACACTTAGCAGTTGTACCAACTGGGCTCCTCATATATCATATTATATAATATCATATCCTGGCAATTTATATACCTATCTATATATTCAATGGTATTGCACAGATAATATATATGTTGTTGTTGTTGTTGTTATGTGCGTCGAGTTGCCTGCGACTCATAGTGACCCAATGTACAACAGCCCTACACTCTGCTCTATCCCTTGCCCATCTTATTGTCTCCGATATGCCTATCCCCATTACCCCAGTGACTGAATCAAATCCATCTCATCAAGGGTCTTCCTCTCCTGCGCTGTCCCCCCACCCTCCCAAACATGAAGTCCCTCTCCAAGGACTGATGCCGCCTTGCAACATGTCCAAAGTGTGTCAGATAGAGCTTCAGAAACCTTGCCTCCAAGGAGCACTCTGGCTTCACCCTCTCCAGGACAAATCGTTTGTTCTTCTAGCAGTCCATGGTGTATTCAATACTCTTCTCCAGCACAAAAGCTCAAAGGCATCAACTCTCCTTCTGTCATCCCTAGTCATTGTCCAGCTCTCTGATGCATAGCAAGTAATGCCAAAGACCATGTCCTGTATGAGACACACCTTAATCTCCAGACTGACATCGTTGCTCTTCAGTACTTTGGAGAGGTCTTTGACAGCAGACTTTCCCATTGTAATTTGTCTTTTAATTTCCTGGCTGCTGGTACCAAGAGTGTTGATTGTAGAGCCAAGCAAACGGAAACTGTCAATAATCTCAATCTCTTCATCTTCCATTATGATGCTATCAATTGGCCCAGTAGTGAGAATCATAGTTTTCTTGATGTTGAGCTTCAATTCATATTGAAGGCTGCAGTCCTTGACATTCTGTAGCAAGCACTTCAGGTCCTCCTCAGTTTCAGCAAGCAGGGTTGTGTTATCTGCATAACACAGATTGTTGACGAGTCTACCTCCAATCCTGATGCCACACTTCTCCTTATAGAAATCAGCCTCCTGGATAATCTGTTGTGAATATAGATTGAAAAGGTATCAAGATAGGACACATCCTTGATGTGTTACCCTTCCCAATTTTGAACCATGCAGTGTTTCCTTGCTCTGATGTTCTGATGACTGCCTCCTGGTCCAAGTATAGGATTTGCATAAGCACAATCAAGTTGAGTGTTCTGGGATTCCCATTATTCTGAGAGTCAGCCATAGTTTGTTGTGATCTAAACAGTTAAATTCCTTTGCATAGCCAATGAAACACAGATGGACATTCCTCTGGTGCTCTCTGCTTTCAGCCAGGCTCCATCTGGCATTAGCTATAATATCCCTAGTGCTACAGTCTCTTCTAAATCCAGCCTGCACTTCAGGCAGTTCTCTGTTGATGTGCTTGTTCAGTCAGTTTTGGATAATCTTCAGCAGAATCTTGCTTGCACGTGATATCAATGATACTGTTCGATAATATCCACACTGTGTCAGATCAACTTTCTTTGGAATGGGAATATAGAACTCTTCCAGTCAGTAGGCCAGGTGGTTGTCCTCCAGATTTCTTGGCACAACTTTGTGAGCACATCCAGGATAGCATCTGTTCTTTGAAATATGGCAATCAGTATGCCATCAATTCCTGGTGCCTTGGTTTTTGCCAATTATTTCAGAGCAGCTTGAACTTCTTCCTTCATCACCACAGGCTCTTGCTCATACGTTGTTTCATGAAATTCTGTGTCCACCAATTCCTTTTGGTACAATGATTCTGTATACTCTTTCCATCTTAAAGCATACTTTTCTAACAGAATTGCATTAGGCCACAAATGTCAGATATTCCAAAATAATATAAAAGAAAAAGACATCAGGAAATTGGCCATTCAGAAGTGACTATGTACTACTTTTAATAACACTAATGATAAAAATAAGGAGATGTATTGCACTGGGGAAAATCCAGTTAGAGATCTTTCCATTATTGAGGATTAGTGATATCAGTTTAAAGACTAAGGTGCATCTGATACAGGACATAGTCTTTCCAATTACTTGATGAGAGCTGGACAATGAATAAGTATCACAGGAAAAGAATTGATGCCTTTGAGCTGTGGTGTTAGAGAAGAGCATCGAACATTCCATGAACAGCCAAGAGAAAAAACAGGCATGTCTTAGAGAGGGTGCAGCTGGAGTGCTCTTTGGAGGCAAAAATTATGAGGCTTTGCCTCACATACTTTGGACATGTTGAAAGGAGATGCTATTCCTTGCAGCCTTCTGCATGATATTGGGAAGGGTCAAGGATTGGCGAAAGAGGAAAACCCTAAACCAGGTAGATTGACTGCTGCAATGGGCTCTTGTGTGTCAGGAAGTGTCATAATGGAGCAGGATAGACAGCATTCAAATCTTTTAATCATACGGTCGCTATGAGGGTCGTTTGACTCTCTGGCACCTAACAACAACATAACAACATATACTATCTTATGTGTGGAACTGAATTAACTCAGCCTGATATTTTTTTAAAAAAACTACCCTACATCAAACTACCAATGGAATTTGGTCCAGAACACATGAAAGAGTGGTCTGGGAAGGAAGAAATGATACTTGACCCAAAGCATATAAAATGAAGAGGAATTTATGGGAAAAGCCAGAGTCGTAATAAAAAAAAAAATAAGCCAGGCTTGTGAAATGGTAAGGAAGTTGAGAATATTGGGAAAGACTGTAAATTAATGACTAGCAATCCTCAGAAGCCTGCCTATGCTTTCAAGCATCTGATTGAGTGATGTAAAAAGCTCACACTTGGAAATGATTGGAAATGTTTTCCATGGACCATTATGTCCCTGAAGTGACTCCTTGACTCAACACAAGTAACACCTGATATTGATAACAGAAAGATTTTTAAAGAGTCTATTCACCATAGTGGTTTTGAAACAAACTTGAAATGTTGATTGTTTTTTCCTCTTTCTCTTTCGTTAAGATTTCACTCCCTCTCATCACCCTTGTTCCTACACTATCTTTACCACCACTCAGCTTTCTGTGGACTATACTCAATGTTTATAGAGTCATATTCCTAGTTCTTGGTGCTTCTTATCTGGAATGGTCAGTTTCATTGATAGAGATGACATTCTATCCCTATTTTAAACCTTTATGACAAACAAATCTTGTTCAAAATGTCTTTCCTAGCCATTGATTAACTTTATTTTGTGATGAAATATTTATTGGATTAAGGAGCTAGAATTAGGGTGGAATAAAGCCCCACCTTACTGAAGAGGCCTACATAAGCTCATGAGAGCTCAATACTAGCTCTCTCTTTTGGGATATTCCCTTCCCTGGGACACAGCTCATCAACTCACCAGTCTCTGCCATACCAGCCTGCATCACTTGCAGTCTGTGAGTCATTTCCCTGATGGGTTTCAGTCTCTGTGAGAGTTTCCAGCAAACCACCAACCCCAAGGGATATAGGGAAGTTGAGAAACTAAATGAAGGAGGATCAGTTGGTGTCAGAAATCATGGAGTGGGATATCACATCAAACATTTAGCACACTGTTGACTTCCCCCTTTTTACACCTAGTTTGCTGCTAATCTAAGCAGAATGAATTATGAATCGAAGCATAAAGGCAGGCAGGAAGCAGCACCCAGAAACATGTCTGGCATGACAAAAGCCTGAGCCATCCTTATTGGGAGAAGTCTGTAGATTCAGACAGGCTCTGTTGATATAAGGAGTACAACATTCATTGGCCACTTTTATTGTTTGGAGGAGTGATATGGAAGGGTCAGAGGGAAGGACTTGTATGGTATTGCTTACTGTGTAATTTGTGTATAGCTACGCTTGTTTGTTCTTAGTTGCTCTTTTGGGGATAGTACTTGTGTGTCAGTTTACTGTTCTAAGGTAGGTTACTGTCTTTGCCATCAATATTTTAACACCAGCAGGTCACCCATAGTGAACAGGTTTCAGTGGAGATTCTAGATAAAGAAATACTAAGAAGAAAACTTGGCCATACACATCTGAAATAAGTGGTCTTTGAAAACCCTATTAACAAGTCAGAGGAACACTATTCGAAATAATACTAGATGTAGGACCTGTTTAGTGAAAAATATTTTAAAAGGAGGACAATTGTAAATACCTATTGCTAATTGAAACATGGAATATATGAAGTATAAATATAGGAGAATTCAAAGTTGTCAAAAATGAAATAAAACATATGAAGATTAAGGGAGCTTTGGTGGCCTAGTGGCAAGAAGCTGCACTGCAATCCCAGGGGTATGCGGTTTGAATCCAACAGATGCTCTGCTGGAAAAGGAGGGGCAATCTCCTCCTGTACCAGTCAGATCTGATTTGACGGTACACACAAAAAATAATAAAATAAAATTTAAAAAAAAACATATAAAGAGCAAAACTCTAAACATTAGAGAGCTGAGCTAGGCTGGCACTGGTCACTTTGAATCAGGCAATCATATGACCTAATATGCTGGGAATGAAAAATTAAGGAAGAATGGAGTTGAATTCATAGCAAAAAAGACAATTTAAAGACCTATACTGAAGTACAATACTGTGAGTAATAGTATACTATTCATACTCATACTATACATAGTATTCTTATTCAAATAGACACACCAACAGTTAAATGCCAAAGTAAAGGAAACTGGAGAATCCTACCAACTTTTGTAGTCTGAAATTGACAAAAAAATGCAGTCAAGATTCATTCATAATAATGGATGATTGGAATGTAAAAGTAGAAGGAAACAAAGTAGAATGATTAGTGGTTAGAAAATATTTTTTCCTCTAGTCCAAAATAAGTTGGATTTGAAAGAAATGAAGTTGGTTGAATTCTGTACATTGGATGATTTATTCACAGCAAACTTCTTTTTTAAGAGACACTGAGGTGACTATACACATGGATTTCACCTAATGGACTTCCCGAGAATCAGATTGAGTACATCTATGGAAAGAATCACTTAATATCAGCAGTCAAAACCAAACTCCAATACACCTACCCCTTAGCCCCAGTTACAGTATCAATTAATCTCATCCAGGGTCTTCCTCTCCTGCACTGTCCCTCCACTTTTCATAGCCTTTTATCAATTAATTTCTAATTAATTAATAAAATAGAACTACAATGTAATACTCCTAGGCTCAAGAGACATTTATTGTGTGTTAAGTCCCATGTTGAATACTAGAAATAAAAGAAAGAGAATAAAAGTTCCTACACTCATAGATCTCAGTCACCATGAGATGAATATGTAAATAGAAAGTAGCAATGAGAAGAGAGGAGAGGGATAATGGTGATCCCTGTAGAAATATTATTCATTCTAGGTTCTGTGCAAGGCTGCATAGAGGAAATGACAAGTGAGATGAGTTTGCTCAACATTCCACAAATGATGAGTGAATAATCTATGGAGCAATGAATTTATATATTGGTCAATAGAGTTAAAATATATAATCCTTCTAGGAACAACCTGGACACAAGAGATTGTAGACATGATCCAAAATGATGGAGATGTGGAGAAGTGTCAAAGAGCAAACACATTTGATCGGCATCCTTTCATTGAGTGGACTCTACCCCCACCCCTAAACTCAGGTAAGTTTTCTTAGTTAAGACTCATAAGATTAAAACCCGCACCCCTAAACTCAGGTAAGTTTTCTTAGTTAAGACTCATAAGATTGAAACCCCCACCCCTAAACTCAGGTAAGTTTTCTTTACTAAGACCCATAATATAGAAACCACCATTTTGCATCTAAGAGGAGAATTCTTTCTACAATCAACTTTCATGAAAATATTTCCAAGGAGAACTGGGCCATGAGTTTGAAGGAGGTCTGGTGAAAATACCTTTTCTGGAAATTAAAGGACTCCACAATCTTTTCTTAAGGATATGATCCAGTGGAATCAGATGCCACATTTCTTACTGTTCAGTGAGTGTTTGAAAGAAATCATGAAGGGATGATTAAGAACCTACAGCTCCAATAATTAAGAACCACATTCTTATATCGTTACATAACCTTTGATGCAAAATTGTCTTCAGTAAATTATTGGCAAAATTTAATGACCAAAAAGCCAAGCTAAATTGTATGTAGTATCATTATAGTCGACAAATATAGATCATAAAAATATGCTATCATTATAATCATCAAATCTCTGGCTTTAGAAGAAAGACACTAATAAATAATACAGATCCTTAAAAACTGCAATCAAGTTAGGAACAAACAATATATTTCCATGAACTGTTCTTTCTAAGTGCCTTTGAGTTGATTCTGACTGATTCTGACTCACAGTAACCCTATGTACATCAGAGTAGAAGATTGCTCTGCCCTGTCTGCCCGTTTCCCACAATTGCTGCCATGCTTGAACCCACTGTTGCAGGTCTGTATAAAGCCATCTCAATTTCTTCCTTTTTTAAGTTGCTTGCCCTTTGCCTTGCCAAGTTTAATATCTAGGTTCCAACAGACTGTATGAGCATTTTCACTGCAATCCTTCCAAGAAAGAATTGTTTTCTTCTTGTGTCATCCATGGTATTGAGTATTCTTTGCTAACACTACAATTTAAAGGCATCAGTTCACCAGTTTCCCATATCCATTGTCCAATTTTCACATGCATATGAAACAATTGAAAACACTATAACTCGGGTCAAACACATCTTAGTCCTTTAAGTGACAATCTTGCTCTTTACACTTTAAAGAGATCATTGGTAGCACACTGCCCAGTGCAATATGTTTGATTTCTTGACTGCTAATTCCATGGGAGATCTGGAGACCTAATGGCAAGAAGCTGTGCTGCAACCCCAAAGGAACATGATTTGAGGCCACCAGCTGTTCCATGGGAGAAATATGAGCAATCTCCTCCTATGCGATTAACTGCCTCTAAAAACCCACTGAAGGGTCAGTTATGGGTCAATTCTGACAGTACAATGCAAAACAAACAAAATCCTGTGGGAGTTGATTATGGGTAAGAAAAAGTCATCCTTTAAAACTTCAATATTTCTCCATTTATTATGATGCTGCCTTCTTGATGATAAAGTGTACTTTACATTTAAGGCTGTATTTTTCACCATTAAGTACTTTAAGTCATCTGTTTTCTGCAAGCAAGGTGATACGGCATATCATAGATTGCTAATGAGACTTCCTCTAATCTTAATGCTGTGTTCTTATTTACTAGGTCCATTTCTCAGACTACTTGCTCGGCGTACAAATTGAAGAATTTTGGTGAAAGGATACAACCTTCTCTGATTCTACATACACCTTTTCTGAAGCCTTCTCTTCAGTTCTTTCTCATACAGCATCATTTCTCCCATTCATGTTAACTTTTCTACTTCCTAGAGCAAGTTTCATTGTCTTCTCAGACATCCATTTCATAATTCTTTCCCATTTTTTTCATGACTTTCAGGCTTCTTCATGCATTATATCTTTGGTGTTACCCCACAACTCATCTTGTCTTCAGTCATTACTGATGAAGACAGAAAATCTATTCTTGAGATGATGTCTACTCAGAGTTGTACCTTGGCTCTCATAACATTTTTGGTTGGTGGGTGGGTTTCTTCAGCTTCAATTTGCTCTTAAATATTAACAGTTGTTCCACACGACTGTTCCTGTCTGCCTCTGCCCTTGTTCTGACTATTGATATTTAGCTTCTCCATCATTTCTGGCAGATGTAATTAATTTGATTCCTATGGATTCCATCCAGGGAGGCCCACATGCCTAGTTTCCACTTAAAATTTTTTAAAGACTTTTATGATAAGTTAGGTTTTTGTTGTATAAAGTTCTATTATGCAATCTGCAGTCTTATCTCTTGACAAGCCTATATTTTAGCCACCAATCCTTCTTTATTTCCAACTTTTTATTTCATTCACCAGTTATTATCAATGCATCTAGGTTGAATGTTTTATCAATTTCAGATGGCAGCGTTGGTTATTTTAGTTATGTGCCATTGAGTTGGCAGTGATCTATAGCAACGCCATGAACAACAGATATGAGAGCTGTCATATCCTATGTCATCCTCACCATCTCAGATATACCTTCTTCTATCATCTTTAGACATTGTCCAACTTCCAGATACATAGCAAGTGATTGAGATCAGGTGACATCCTTGCTCTTCAGCACATGCAGAATTCCCTGACACCATAATTCCCCAATGTGATGTTTGGGTTTTGGGGTTTGGTGGTTTTGGGTTTGTTTGTTTGTTTGTTTGTTTTTTAATTTCCTAGCTGCTAGTGCCAAAGGTGTTGAGTATGCAAGCAAAATGAAGTCATTGACAATATCTTTTTCTTCTCCATCTATCCTGATATTGCCTATTGACCTAGTGGTGAGGACTTCTGTTTTCTTGATGTTGAAATGTAAGCCATATTGAAAGTGAAGTCTACGATCCTCTTTTGCAAGTATTTCAAGTTGACACTTTCAGCAAGCAAGTAAAACACTTTCAGTTGTCTCACTGGATTTGCAACATCTCATTTAGTGTTTTCCTTTATCAGACTGGCAATTGTCATCAGGAGGCAAACAAAGACACTTAAAAACAATTTAGTAAAGAGTCACACTTTTGCCTGATACCAAATGTTTATATCAACTCATATAGCTGATTAAAATACAGGGCTGAATAACGAGACTTTATTTTCCAGGTCTGGATCTGGCTAACAAAATGCCTTCTCCTAGAACTCTAAAGACTCATTTACCTGTTCAGATGCTACCACCTTCCTTCTGGAAAGAAAACTCAAAGGTAAAGATAGTCAAATCTTTAAATACTGGTTAATACAGCAAAAGAATATCTCCCTCTAAATAGCAAGAAGAAAAAAAAAATCTTGAAATACAAATGTTGTTGTGTTTTTATGTGCCATTCAAGTGCCCGTAAGTCATAGCAACTCTATGTACAATACCTATGAACCCTGCCCTATGCTGAGCCAGTCGAATGAACAGTGGATATATAGGGATGATGATGGAGCTCTACCACATTTTCAAACACTCCATTTTTTTATCTGCTTTTCCTTTAAACAATCTTTCTCAATGCAAACTATGACATTTTCATATGAAAATCAGACAGATCACTGTGAATTAATTAATATTCAAAATATATAACTGATGAAGCAAAGTATGTCACTCCTTAGAAAGACTGGTACTCAGTTTGGGTCCAGCAATAAGCAGATGCCACAACAGTGTTAGACGTTACTGAGATTTAGGGAAAAGCCTGTGAGGGGAAATGTAGAGGGAGATGAAACTACATGTGGAGTGTCATATGACGATGATACAGGTCTAACCCCAGTTAATGAGAGAGGTGAGGGAAAAGGAATGCATAAGCAGAGGTTTGGACTACATCCCACCTTTCACAATGTTCAGCCAGACTGATGGTAAGTTTTGAAGCCAAAGTCAACCATGAGAGGAGTGTTGAATTTCATAGGCCTATTCCTGTTAGCCCTGCTACATTCACTCACCAGCAAAGAGTAGACCCTTAGGGATATAGCCTTGAAATGAATGTGCAGTAGAATTTTTTGATAGAAGTTGAGATCATCCATCAATTATTTTCCTCATAGTCAGAAATCAGAATCAGATTTTTTCATATCTACCATCTGATTGTCCAGGCAAGATTATGTGCACCATGGTGTCTTTTCTACAGCTTCAGAACATAGTACCCTTCTCGGGATTTGAAATCTGCTTTTGACAATATTTAGGAAATGTATGCACTCTTACAGAACACATATATATTGAATCTTTGTTTCTTCCAGTCTCAGTCATAATTTTTTACATTTTGACACTTTTAAATGCAAAAATCATATAACTGCAATATATTCCAATGTACATTTATTATATTAGAGTTTCATTATATCTGCTTTTAAATCATTGGTGACTCTTGAAAGAAGTTATAGATGACTAATATAGAATATTCATGTATAAGTTTGCAGCAAAATGTATTGCTAGCTTCCCAGAAAAAGAAAATTTTTATGTAAGTCAGATCAGCACATTTTTCCTTTAGGCAAGATACTGTGGAAGTTCAGTTATCTAAAGATTCCTGAAGTATCATGTTAATGTTAAGAATCACCTCTTGGCTAAAGTAATTCTAGAATGTCTCACCTGACAGACATTTCCTTTAGAAAGGAAACTATATAAAGGCCAAGATACACTATCTTTAAGGCAGTGATCATATATACAATGCTAGTGATTGCTTTACTCTTTCTTTTTGCTAAGTTTGTGGCTCATCATCTCACCATTGTGCCTGTGTCTTATTTTCAGACAAAAATAATATTATTAACTAGGTTTCTACTTATCAGAATTCTACCCTATTCCTGATTTGCCTACCAGAGGTTATACCTAGGTCACTTTGACCTGGGTTTCAATGTAAAAATTATTTGGTTTATTCCTATAAGATAACCTCATATATCATTAATCTCATCATGCAACTTCTACTGCCCACTAACAAACATGACTTCCTAATTTTGCAGAGTCAATGTCAAAAAACATATTTACACTTAGTCATATATGTAAATGGAGCTCTGGTGAGTCAGTGGTAAGGAATGGGTCTGCCTTTGCAAAGGTGTACAGTTCTAAACCATCAGCTGCTCGGCAATAGGAAAATAGGCAATCTCTTCCTATGTAATTTACTGCCTCTGAAAACCTGCTGGAGGGTCAGCTATTTTCTGATTCAGTGGAACACAACAAAAACAACAACAACAACATATATGTGAAATCACATAACACTCAATTTTTTAAAAAATTATATGTTCTGAATAACAGATTACAATGATAAAAAATTATAGTTTCTTCCTTTATACTTAGAATTGTGAGTTTTTTCAAAAGAAGATTTACTGCATCTGAAAACCCACTGGAGGTTCAGCTATACATCAGTTCTGACTCAACAGGACAGAATAGCAATAACATATGTCAAATCATATAACATTCCCCTTTTTTTCTCAGTTCTAATATCTGCTCTTTATTAGTGTGCTGTGTGACTTTAGGCCAGTTCTTCTTCTATTCTGGTATTACCTTCATTTGCTTGTCTATATGGTGATAAGATGGTCTTATAGAGCTCATCTTCAATAAACAGGAATTCTAGCACTGCCTTAGGAATGATTCAAATGCAGTGGTGCATATGAAAGCACATCACAAGGTGAGAGTAATTAAAAGGTTAAAGTTTTAAAAGAAGATAGCACTCATTTTTTAAGAAATCATGCCTTCTTTTTTTTTTTTAATCATGCCTTCTAAATAACAGATTATGCCAAAGGCAATTTCTTCCTTTATCCACTTAGACTTGTGAATTATTTGAGTAGAAGTTGACTTTAAAAAAAATGCAGTGCACGTTTTTCTTTTTCAAAAGATAAGCAGATCTTCGGAATAATTAAATGTTTGCTATTAAGTCAAATCTGAGTAAACCGATTCCTCATCCCAAATTATCTTTTAGTATACTCCTGGTCTACCCATATCGAGAGCTCACTTCAGAAGCACATATACTTAAATTGTAATGATATAGAGAAAATTAGTATGGCCCCTGTGCAAAGATAACATGCAAATCTGTGAAACATTGCACATTTTTATGGCTTGCACACTGATTGCAGAAATAGGTTTGAGTGTATCAGAGATGATGAGGTGGCACAAAATAGGACAAAGTTCAGAGCTGTTTTTCACAGGGTCACTAAGAGTCATAGTTGACTCAACATCACCTAACAACAACTCAGGTAAACCATGGCTCCCTATGTATCCAATTGCCCTGGTCTTAATTTGCTTAAACACAATACCAAGAAAAACATTAAGAAGTCTGTTTATATAATATTATCTTGCAGTACTATCATACTTTAGTGTTCCTCAGTGCTTTTAAAAAAATGTTTTACAGAAATAAAAGGTGACAAATGAAAAGAGACAAAGAACTATACTCATGCAAAGATTGTTTTCACCTAAGGAACTCTAGTGGCTCTTAGTCCACAGAAAGTTTCACCGCTAAACCAAAGGCTGCATGTCTCAGGTGATTCTAAACTACCATTGGCTTCTCAGAAGAAATTTCATGTGCAAACTCAAACACCCAATGAAGGGTCAACAAAGAATTGTTGAGTTCTTTAGATTTTTATAACATATAATGGGAGAAATGTGGTAACGCAAAAGCATGAAATATTTTACCAAAAGAAAACATGACCTGGTCATTGATTGTGTTAAACACAGACATTTTGTTAAGTCTAAGTAAAATAGAGGACAAAATGCTTGAGAAAACCACTAAAATGCTTCCAGTCCCCAATTCTGCTGAGAATACACAACAACATAGGCCTAGACCTAAACTAACATGGTGAGGAACATAAGAAGTCGAGATCAACTTCTATTAGTTGAGAAGCTATTGCCTTTTGTAGGGCAACATATTCATTACAAACAGTTCCAAATACGCTTTAACACTGCCCTCAGGGAGCTTTCAGTCTCATTAGTAAATGAAAAATGAAAAACAAATTAGGTTGTTCTTATTGTGTACCATACTGGATCCATAGTTGCTGGCCTCTCCAGCAGATTTTTAGACCCAGATTAATCATACAGGAGACACTGCCCATCTTATTCTGCAGAGAATCTGATGGGTTTGATCTTTTGGGATGACAGCACGGCTTCCCTACCACTAGCCACCACAGTTACACTAACTAACCTTCTTACTAAATGAAAGAAGTATTCAAGAAGTACCTTTCTTTCACATACTGAAAAAGATTATGGAAAATACCAAAACTATTTAACCTCCAGGAATAACAGAGTTAATATTTTATTTATTATGCAAACGAGAATGATTTTTAAGAAAGAGGTTGTACTTAATAATAATTATGCTAATGCAACAGATATAAACTGATTATTTCCCTTGAAAAATTTTAATATGTGGTCAACTTGACCATAAAAAATTAGCATCAAATTATTCAGCTGGCATAATCCAAGATTTTTCTAAGAAGTTTCTATTAGCATGATTTTCTACATTAAACAATCACATTTTCTGTTTTATTTTCTCTTTGCTTCTCATTACTATTGCTGGTTGATTATTTTCTCTTTGCTTCTCATTACTATTGCTGTTTGATTTCAGATTATTTATGTGGCTAGAAATGCCAAGGACTGTCTGGTGTCCTACTATCATTTCTCAAGAATGAATAAAATGGTGCCTGACCCTGGTACCTGGGAGGAATATATTGAGACATTCAAAGCTGGAAAAGGTAAATGAATGAAAAGAAAGAGTTTACATTAGTTTACTCATTTATCTAATGACATCAGACATGAACTCTTGTATTGAAAGATTCATTCATTCAGCCAAGGTCTTAGAAGGAAGTTTATATCATACTTAACCTAAATCATTTAAAGAGAGTTTAATAAAAATATAGTATTCTCATTCTCCTCACATTTTCAAGCTTCTTCTAATACTTCCTCCTGGAAGAACCTAGATATAAGTATTAAATCTTGGTATTCAAACTATACAGTGCAAACAGATCAACTACAAAATATACAGTGTAACCTGGAGCAGGTTGGAGAGTGGATTTGGTAGGGCAATCAATGCAGCTTGCTTGCTTCCATTTATAGTGACAGGGAAAAAGCGTTTCCAATATCTAGTAACCTTCCAGTGTTGTTGTTGTTATTGTTATTGTTATTGTTATTGTTGTTGTTGTTGTTGTTATATGCTGTCAAGTCTCCTGCAACTCACAGCGACCCTAGGAACAACACTTAAACCCTGTTCTGTCCTGTGCCAATCTCACTCTCCGACACACCCACCCCACTACTTCAGTCCACCTCATAGAGGATCTTCCTCTCCTGAGCTGTCCCTCTACCCTCCCAAGCATGACATCCTTCTCCAAGGACTGGTCCTTCCTTGCAACATGTCCAAAGAATGTCAGACATAGCTTCAGAATCCTTGCCTCCTAGGAAGAGCCTGGTTTGACCCTCTCCAGGACGAACCTGTTTGTTTTCTTAGCAGCCCATGGTCTATTCAATACACTTCTCCAGCACCATACCTCAAAGGCATCAATTCTCCTTCTATCCTCCCTAGTCATTGTCCAACTCTCTGCTGCATAGCGACTGATTGCAATGACCAGGGCCTATATAAGAAATAATATTTATTACACTAGACAGTAATAGAAACAAAATAAAGATTATTAATCTCGGAACACATGACAATCTTTACTGCAGAAGCTGAAGGGTATAAGCTAAGGCATTTCAACACAATTGACCATCTATCCT